GTATAAGAGACAGCCTTATCTCTGCCCCGCTCGCATCTCGGCTCAGCTCCAGGGCTGCGCAGAACTGCCGTTATCAGCTGGATGCAACAGCTTTGGTTTCCTCTCCTGCAAACGAGCCTAACCGTGGTCTCGACTCTGGTTTATTTTGTTCTAAAGGAAGTTCAGACTCAGCCCTTTGCACCCAAAACAGCATCACCTCAGGCTCTGCAGAAATGTGGCTGGAGGCCACGGCCACGCCAGAGCTCGGCCCTGCACCACGCCGGCCCGAAGCTCCTTCTGCCCTTGCAGGCACCCGAGTCAGGAGCCGCGTCCAGCCTGCCCGGGGAACACCCCTGCCTGCACAGACAGCACCCGCAGCAGTTTAAATTCACGTCTGCAGCCTCTGCTGGCTTTACCAAGCACTGAAGTGGCCACATCAGCCCCAAACTAATGAGACTTCCTCACACCTTTGCAAAATGCAAACACATTTGTTACCTGCTTTACTTTAGAAAGGGGAGAAAACTTCACCTCTCCTTTCAGTATTTACCCCTCGGGGACAACAAAGCCCAACAGTCACCACCAACAAAGCCGAAGTTCACCTTCTGCAGGATCGAAGGGTCTCTTCCTCTCTCGGGGTGTTGATTTAGGCTCCCCAAGGCAGGGCTGAACAACCGGCACGGGTGCACCAGGCGCTGGAGGGAAGAAACCCACCGGGCTGCTGGACACGGACGCGGCAGGGTGGCAGGGACAGACCGAGCCGGGGTTTATCTGGCTCCACCGGGCAGCTTTCCTTCTCCAGGCCACCTCTGGCCACCTCAGGACATCTCCTCCCAGCCCTGGACTTCAGGCTGTCCCCAGGAGCAGGAGCTGCGGTGGCTCAGGGGTTAAACGCCCCGGCTGGAGTGCTGCAGCTGCAGAGCAGATGTCTGGTGGGAACAAGGGGATGGAAAAGGCCCCGGTAGGAAGAGAAACAAAGGGCCAGGAAGGTGAAGACCCCGATCCGTCCTCCTTGCCTACCCCACCTGCGTTTCTGCAGCTGCCCTGAGCGCAGGCGGACAAGGGGCAGGGACCCGTCCCCTCCACACCCTGGGGAATGTGGCAGCAAAAACCCCTCGTGCGGGAGGAGGGAGCCCGGCACGGAGCCCCGTTTCCACGTCTGAAGAAGGCAACGGCAAGGCAAGCTGGGGCAGAGACAGCCTCCAGCTCCAGCCCACCCTGTGCACCACCCTGCGAGGGCCGTCAGCGCCCGCACGGCCGAGGGCTCACCTCGGCCCGGATCAGACCTGGGGTGGGGTTGCTGTCCCCTCAGCACGCAGAGTGAGACCCAACACAGCCCATCACCGACGGCCCAGCAAGGCCAAGGGCAAAGGGAAACGAAAATACTTTTGTGAAAAAGGCAGAAGCAGCAGCCCCCCTCGTGTCTGCAGAGCGCGCTCGACCCCGCAGCGCAGCATCTGCAGCTGACGCACGTTCGCACCTCCCGTGGACACAACCTGCTGCGGGTTCTCACCTCACCATGCGCTTAGTAGCTGTCCCCAGCTCTTTCTGCTTTTAAATGCAGGCGCTGATGAATAATTAGTTAATAGATGAGGGAATTTCCCCCTCCTTCTATGCACTTATTTAGAAGACACACCAGCGTGTGTTAGCAGAGGCACTCCGCGGCGCAGCGTTCCCCCGTGGCCTTTCTGCAGCTTTTCCCACGTAGCACAGAATCCTAAACCCACCCGGCTCCCAGCTGAGGCACACACGGGCTCCTCCAGCCCTCGGTGGGGACAGAGAGCCCAGAGCTGTCACACCCGGTCCGAGGCGACAGCCAGGCCCTGTCACAGCCCCGGCCCAGCAACGCATCCTCGCGGGGAGAAACGGGCACTAATCTCTCAGCGGAGGCGCAAAGGGCTGCTTTAGGGCTCTTTCCTTCCCCTTTTTAAAGGCTGCAATACAAAAATAAGCCAGAATCAAGTATTTCTCTAACTCTGTGCAACAACCTTCCTCCTCCTTCTGCCTCACCAATCCCCTGTGGCAGACACGGGAGTGTGACACTGAAGCCACCCCTCCCGCTCGCCCTCGGCCAGTAGCCCACTGGTGTTCACTGTGGTCACACTGTGTCTCTGATCCGGTCCCTGCGCCCGCCGCTGCAGCAGGTCCACGGGGAGCTGGGCGAGCCAAGGCCAAACTTGCGAAAATCCCAGCCCACAGCAGAAAGATCCCAGTGAAATTCAGATTTCTTACCACCACGCTGTGGGGGACCCCAACACCACCCCTCCGCTGGCAAACGGCACGCCTCGGGTGCCGTTACAGGGTGGCCACCCCGGGCTGCACGGCAGTCTTGTCCCCAAGAGGGGCATCTCCCTGCAGGCCTTCTGCAGAGAGCTACAAATCAAGGTGTAAGACCAAAGAAAGAAACCAAACCCAAACCCCACAACCTAAGTTTCAAGAAGCAGCCACCTAACAGCTCTCCGGGGAAGGCAGGTCTGCGTACACCGGGGCAGGACCTGCCCACGGCATCTCTCCCACCCGGAGCGTGACGGGCCCGGGAAGAGCCCACGGCCCCTCTTGCTGCGCCCAGCGCCCACCAGCACGGCCCAGGCACTGCTCGGGGGGCACCTCCCTCCCCACCCCACAGCTCGCCCTCCGCAGCCCCTCGCTTAAAACTGCCGTGAAGGAAACGAGTGTCAGCAGGCGACGGGTTGGCGGTCCCGGGGCTCCCAGCCAACGCCGCTGGCCACCCTCGCTGCCTGGCAGGAGGGGCGCCAGCCTCACCAAAAGGGTTTTTTTGTCCAATTTTAGGGATCAACCGACGGGTTGGAGGAGCTTGCTCACCATGCAGCCACCGCGCTTTCACCAGCTTGGCTGAGGCTGTGAGAAATAAGCCCCGATATTAAAAAGGCTGCAGAGCTGTTATGTCCTGCTGTGTCTTAAGCGGGGAGCAGAGGGCTTGAGAGAAAAGCCACACGCAACGCGACTGACACCCGCCCGTGCTTTGTCTCATCCATTTCCCCTCTCTGTCCTACCACGCACAGCCGCACCCTCAGCACCAAGTGCCTGATCTCACTGGGGCTCCGGGCTCACAATGCACTCCACCACAGCTCCTCTCCCAGCAGAAGCTGCAGATCATTTCAAGGAGGTTAAATAAAAAAAAAAAAAAAAGTTAAAGGCAAATCTGGTCCATTTTTCCAAGAAAATAATAAGAAAAAAAAAGCTTAACAACAAAACAAATTACACCTCCTAACCCCTTCCTCACCCCACTGCATAAAAGCCAGAGCAAACTGACTCACTGCAAAGGAAACACTTTTCAAAAAAAATCTCTGACAAGAAAAAAGGTCATTTTACAGTCCTTCCCATCTCCCCCCAAAAGCGTTTGCTGGCTGAAACCTGTCTACGAGATGAAAACACAAAGCTGGGACACGAGCAGACTCACCATGGCAGAAGCTGTTAATCCTGGCTTTGTTCATCAGAAACCATGGATTAAACGCAGAGAAAAATATCAGCACGACCACCGGGCTCCTTGATCCCCCACCTCAGCCATCCCGGCTCCGTCGGCGGGAGGCGAGAGCCCGGCCAAAGACCTTCCCGCAGGCACTCAACTGGAGATCTCCGATTTTTCCAAGCCGGCCGACGGTACTGAGCTAATAAAATCTGCCCTCGTTGACCCTGCCCGCCCGGGCAGCCGTCTAATTTCTCGTTAGAAGCAAACAGGACATCCCCGGCCACGCAGGGGGCTGAGCTGTTTGAACCGCGGGGGTGGGGGCAGGCAGGGAGCGCGCGAGGAAGCCGGAGCGAGAGCGCCCAAGGGCGCAGGCACGCTGCCCGGCTGCTTCCCGCTCTCTGGGAGCCCGGCTGGCCAGGCTGGCTGCCCCGGCACAGCCCTGTCCGCCGCCGGCAGCG